TTATTATATAATATGATAATCATGCCTATGATTAGGAAATGCAGCCAGCGTTCGTCTAGCCATGTTCGCCTGTCCGTCTGTCCTTTAACTTATCCTTCCATCCGTCCTTCAGTTCATTTTTCATCGTTTATCGGTTCATCCTTCCAGCTCTTTCACTATTTGCGCATTTGACCGGCATAGATGACGCTTTTAGGGTATTGGCTCGTCGTTCACTGCCACTCTGCTTCAGCATGATTGTAACTATTTCCTTGATAGCAATTCATTTGAAATTGCTAATGGAATTGTTGTCCATGCTTAGCTTATGCCCATCTAGATTCCTAGCTAGATATTCAGCATAGATCATTAATTTTAAGAATTTTGTTGCTCTTCTTCTTGCTGTTGCTATTGGAGGCATGTGTCAAAGTTTGAAGTTTCATTTCGTTTGCGCAAATGCTTAATTATTCCATCATTTAAACGTCAGCTATGCGAGCGATTAACATTTGGACTTGCAGACTTTTGAGGGTAGCACACTTTCGATACCCTGTAATGCCAGAGAGAGATAGAAAATAGGCGGCTGTCAGAGCCCATGCCAGTGAAGGCCTTGTAAGCTCTGCCTGTGTGAGCTTTACAGGGTATACGCAGTGTAATTTCCATTCTTTGTGCTGCATACTTTGAGGCGCTGCAGCAAGTTGAATGCTCAGTCTCATATTGATCAGCCACGCAGTTGGAATTGAAATTGGAGCCAGAGTGCCAGAGGGAGCGGCTAAGGGCTGACTAGGCCGGGCTAGCCGAGTGGGCCAGGCTGCCCCAGGACCCGCGCGCTCAGTCGGCAATTTATGGCAATTACCAGCGATTAAAGAGTTGAGCGCGAGCCCAAAAAAGAAAAAAGAAGTGAGAGCAACTTTTGCCGCAGCCGCAGACAGAAATTGAGCGAGCGAGAGAGAGAGAGAGAGTGAGAAAGGAAGGGAGAGAGTTGAGTGGGACAGCGGCTGGCGCGATAAATGTAATCAAATTTAATTTCGACAAATTGCTTTTGAATTACGCGACCTTCGACGTTTGGCGCCGGCGAAACACAGCTGAAAATTGTTGTTAAAATAATAATAACTTCTGTCTGTGTCTGTGTGTGTGTGTGTGTGGCTGTGTGTCAGAGCACAATTGCCACAATAACAACAGCAATTTGCGCTTGAAATGATGAAAACAAAGTAAACGTCGAAGAGGACGGCGACGCCGACGAATTCCAGTGCACAGCGCGGCGTATACGTAATAATAAAAATTATGATTCATACGCAAATATACACAGGGAGGGAGAGAGCAAGAGAGAGAGAGAGAGAGAGAGAGAGAGAGGGGGAGAGAGAGATACCGTTGAGCTGCTGATTGGCCATTTGGCTTAAATGCACAAATTAATTTGATTGAACCACATCGAAGAACCGACAGCACAGCAGAAATCAAACAGAAACTTTTCCAGTTGTTCATATTTCTCAGTTGTTGCGTTTTCCATTTGCAAAGTTTAAGCAAATAATGAGTTTTAGTTTGAACAATTTTGATATTTTTATCGAATCGTAAATGGAATTCGTTAAATTGGCTTTTACTATAGGAATATGAAAGATTTCGAGCTCTTCAATATAGAAGAGAGAAGAGAAGAGTAGAGAGAAAGAGAGAGAGAGAGAGAAAGTCAATTCATCAATCAGTTAATCAGTCCCCATTCAAAGACTTTCATATTAGATAGATAGAAGTCTGCTTCATCTGTTTGAAATGATATTATGGCTTTATTTTTATCCCTTAAGCCCATCTACTCCCTCTACGCCCTTCCTGATGATTAGTTTTTGGTAACGAATCAATAAGCTAAAAATCTCATATAAAATAAATAAAAGAATAGATTGACGAATGCCGTTAGAAAATTGTAGTCAAGCCTCTCTGATTATATAATACTCGTTCATGATGAAACAAAAATAATCGAGAAACAGAGCCATGAGCTATAGACAGAATACAATAGCTTACATAAAGACTGAAATATATAGAAACTGGAAAATGAATATACCCTTCGCATATAAATATCCCGAGTTTAATTTAGGCAGATGGACAGACATGAATCTCCATTAGCCAAATCCAACATAATATATATAGTAGTAATATGTATATAGTATATACTCTATATAGTATACTCTCTTCACGTTTCAGGCGAGCATCAGACATAGTTCAGGTCAAGCACAAAATAAATGGAAACAATGAGAGCTCTGCTAATTTGTTAGTACAGCCGAAATATTGTGCTTTGCACTCCATACTCCACCGCCATTCTGATACCCTGTAATGCAGAGAGTATGGACTAAGTTGGTTACTTAGTCAATTCTCTATGGATAAATTACATAGGCCTTACTTACAATTCCTGCTAGATTCATACATTAGCTCCGATTTATGGCTAGAAATGTAAGAATTTGAACTAGTTCAAGCTGAGAAATCCTAATGCTTTCTAGGACTGTCAAAATCAAAGATAAAGCATATAGATAGACCCTATACCCTATACTATACCCCTCTTTTTCGCTCTCTCTGCTTCTGTCTCTCTCATTCTCTCTCGCTCTATCTCTCTCCATCTCTCTTTCTCTCTCTCGCTCTTTCATCTCATATATATCTCTGTCATATTGCTCTATAAACGTACACCTCAATTAACATTGTTTCTTTTTTGTTTAAATTTTTTATAGGGTATCCCACATGTTCTGCTGTTTAGGCTTAGTTTATTACTCATACTCAGTCATCAATTTTTTGGTTTTATTTGGTAGGTAATTTCCATGCAAACAATTGCTAGATTCTTTCTTTCTTTCTGTCTCTATTTTGTATGTTTTTTCTCTCTTTCTCTTTTTTTTTGCGGGCATCATCAACTGACAATTTTACGAGCAATCTCTACTCTTACCTCACCCCTTCTTCACTCTCCCGCTTGCTCACCGTCTCTTGCTTTGGCTGCGCATTTACATTTTGACAACAGGCAAACAGCAAAAAAAAAAAAAAAAAAAAAAAAAAAAAAAAAAAAAAAAAGAGAGAGAGAGAGGAGAGAAAAGAGTCAAACTAATCTAACAACTGCTAACAACAAGAGCCGCTCGAGCCCCTCCCCACTTTACTACGGCCATGCCCATGGCGAACGCTCCAAAAGAGTGGCCGCAGGGCAGCGTGCGCTTGCTTCCCCCGCCTCCTGCCCCCGCCCAGCCCCTGGCTACGCCTGGCTCCCATCTGCTGCTGCTCGCTTTGCCTAACAAAGCATTTTGCAGCTGGCAAATATCTCCCTCTAGTTCTCTCTTTCCCTCTCTCTCGCTCCTTCACCCTTTCTCTCTCCATCACCATCTCTCTGTGTGTGCGAATACGTTGACAATTTGCGTTTGTCAGTTGTTGTGTTAATTAGAAAACTTTTTTCCCAAACAACAACAAATGAGAAAACTCAAAAACGATTTTGAGCGCCACAAAAGTTCCGACTACCACGCCCCCCTCCACCGCCCGCGACCCTTTGCACCGTTAGCATTTTGTTGTATTTGTATTATTTGCATTTTCTATTTGATTTTATTGTTTATATGTTTGTTGCACTTCCCCTTGCACCGCTTGTTGTTGTTGTTATTGTTGTTGTTGGCTTTTTGGCAAATGAATAATGAATTTCGAATTTACGTTCATTTCGCATTTGCTTTGATATACTCCATTTTTTATTCCCATCTAGTTTGCGTTCTCTCAGAGGGCGAGAGGGAGAGGGACAGAGCCCTCTCATAAAAGCCCAAAAAAGAGATATATACATATCTCAAGCATATAGTTAAGAGCTCTGGCTTTGCCACAGATTCGCTTAAGATAAATATGCAGACACAAGACACAGAACTACAGAGCGATGGAGGAAGAGGGGGAACGGGAGCAGGAGGCGACTAAAGAAGAGAAAAAGGCGATTTTTATGTTTATTTTGCAAAATTAAATCCAACGTTTTAGTTTTATGGGGTGAAATTTGCTTTGTTTGCAAAATAATATACTACCACACACTATATGTATATAAGGACGACATACATACATAGATATACATGTAGTACATATGTGAGTGTATGTAAGCCATATCAGGCAACTGTAGAGCACTGGATGCAGTAGAGAAAACTTCCGACTTGAGCCTAACAATAGAGAAATACTCTACATGGGGAATACTTTACATGAGCTACTGAGTAAAGTACAGAAAAATCAGTTCAAAAACTGGTTCAGCAGTCAGTTGATAGCTGCATGAATGAATGAACCAGTCGTGAACTACAATTTGAGCAGCTTAGAGCTGAGTGAGTTAGTTAACTTCCAACAATTACTTAATGAATCAATCTCCATTCGCCAAGTGATCTACAATGTGAACCAGTTGTGAGTGAGTCAATTAGTGTCTATATGAACTGCTGTATAAATTTAGTTGCAAAGTAAATGAACCAGTGCCCTTTCAGTATATATAAAGTGAA